TATCCCGATGGGTGTGAACAAGTTTGGTCACGGAAAACATTCAATCCACTCCAGCTGAACTCAAAACAAGGGCCACAAATATAAATACAAATTCAGCCAATTCAATTTTTATAACACGGTAAAAACATGGTAAAAGAAAACATGGTGTTAAGAAAACATGGTAAAAGAATACCTGTTATAAAACACTGTTTCAAACTTTTTAAAAACACCCTTGCTTTAAAAATATCGCCATCCTGCCAGCTCATTTAGGCTTACTGATACATCGATTGGTGGCTATTCTTATGTCAGGAACAACGGATGCGCAAAAATTTTTAATCAATCAGTCATTTAATTTGTCGAAACTGACTGAGTTTTGTTCTTTTTGAGATTTTCCAATACTGAATTTTGATTGGCTAAAACAATTTCGGGCATTTGGTCGGTCTGGCATGGGGACTGCCCCTCTTGGGCGCCATTCCCATGACAGAAAGATTGAATACGCAAAAATTTTTAACCAATCAAGACCCTCATTTATTCTGTCAAAACTTACTGATTTTCATTCATTTTTCGTTAAAATTTCCATCTGCTGAAATTTGGTTATGGCTCACACAATTTTCGGAAAATTAGTCCATATCGAATGAGGCTTTCACCCATATCAATTTGGTAAACTGCCGCCGAATTTTCCATCCTTATATTTTTTTTGGAATCTGCTTAAAAATCTCCCCCCCCTTTCAAGAAAGGGGGGGATTCTTTACTAGATACAATAAGGGGGGATTGTTAAGAGTAGATCCCCAGGGATCTACTTAACAATCCCCTTTTCAAGAAAGGGGGGAGATTCTTTAGTAGATACAATATAGGGAGGGGGGAGATTGTTAAGTTGATCCGTTTTTTGTTGTAGCCTGAGGCAACTGATGATTCCCCCGTCGTTTTTGTGAACATGTTTGTGGTTGTCTAGGTGGACAAGTTCGTCTCCTGGGGCAATGGAGTGTGCATGGGTAGGTACAAAGAGACAGTCTGCTGCTCTGGTCTGTGTCTGCCGTCTGAGCTGAAGCCATACCACCACTACTATCTAGAGGCCAAATACACCCCCTTCGACGTTAGTATATTGAGAACAAACTGACGAACAGAGTATGGCCAGGATTCGACTGTAGTACTGGAAACTCGCCCAAATTATTAACAGTAACTGTACCGATGTGGTGGGGTGGGAGGAGGGGGGGTTGCTGCGGGAATTTTGATAGTTATTTACAAAATTTATTCTGGACAGTTATCTATCAATTTTTTAGCGAACCAAAGTATACTAAATATGACTGGGAAAGCGCGTATTTTTACTAGGCCTAAGGTTTCCTACAGTTTTGTAAAAACGCTCGATATTTACACTAAAAAATTGTTAAGTAGAAACTTTGTGCCATATATGGTCAATTTCTGGGTTTTTCAGAGAGCACCAAAGACAAAAGAATAAACAAAGTTATCCAAGAAAGCTGTCCCATCAAAAAAAAAAGATGTACAACCTTTTGTCTCAAAGAAAGAAAAACTAAATACTCAAGAGCTATGAATTTTACAGCAAACCATAAACAGCAAAGGAATGGCCATAATGGGAAAAGCAAAAATTTTATCACCTTTTCATTGAACTTTTTTAATTCTTAAACATAAATTTGAAACAATTGAAAAAAGTTAACCGAAAAAAAAAATGATTTTTTGTGTATCCTCCTGTTTAGGAAGTGTTCCTGTGTTCTTCTCAGCCTTCCACGGAAGTCACCTTGGTGACCTTGGACTGTCCGGACGGATTTGACCCTGTCAAAGTCGAGGTCGCCTTGGGTCAATCGTGCGTGTGCAAAAAGTCATCTTTGGAGGAATTTCTGGCCACAATAGACCCGTAGTTGCTATAGAGCAGAAGCTTCCAAAAAACTCAAAAAACAATTTTGTAAGCTTGTTTTGAGTAACCGGCTCAAACTTAATTGAAAGCAGAAACTTGAAAAACGTGATCTGTCATGCTTTCATTTCTAGTCATAGTAACATTTTGTATATCGATTAATACTATAAACCTATTTAGGCACCTAGACAAGAAATTAGCTCATGTTTTGTAAGAAGTTAGCAATCTTCTTCAGGTGCTGTAATATGCAGAGGGATTTTTTAACTGCTCACCTCATAGGGTGGTTACCTAGTAACAGAGTGCGGTCTGTAAGTAGACTAACGCGTATTGATACGCGTCAATTAGCAGACAAATACTATATTAATCTATCAGAATCGCGATGAGGAAGCAAGTTCACGAAATTAATTCTTAATAATTTCTTAAGTTTGCCCCTATCTCGATTATGATTAGTTAAAATAGTGGTTGTTTATACTTACTGACGAGTATGCATGCGCGCTTGTCTAACTACTGCTACGTAACCCTAGAAACAATCTACGATACAATTATTATAGTCAAAATGCACTACCGTCAAAAAGCAAGTATGAAAGATGGAGCCCGCCGTTTTGCAACGCGCAAACAAACATTTTTTCCCACGCTTGAATATCTTGGAAATAGCTGTATAAGTTTGATTGGATTGATTTAAATGGAACAAATCTTGCCAAAAACATAGAATATGTGTTTGTTAGAGTTAGTCTACGACGCTTTTTCTCATGAAATTTCGATAAATTTTTTGCGAGAAAAGCGGAATATTTGAAAAAATTTACCGAATTACAGTGTTTTAATGCAAAATGACTGAAATGAAACGCAGCAAGAAAAAAATTTGAAGGTGTATAAAACATAAAAAGCCAAAAAGTGACAATTTTGACCGAAAACTTTTTATGGCTTGTCACAAAAATTCCGCCCAAAATTTTGTTTTGTCAAGGTTGAGGTCGTGGTAGGTCGATCGTGTATGTGCAAAAAGTCATCTTTGGAGGAATTTCTGGCCACAATATACCCGAAGTAGCTATAGAGCAGAAGTTTCTGAAAAAAAAACTCGAAAAACAGTTTTGTATGCCCTTTTGAGTCACCGGCTCAAATTTAACAAAAAGAAAAAAATTTTAAAAATGTAAAAAATCTGTCATGTTTTCATATCTGGTCATATAACCATTTTGTATATTGATTAATTCTAGAAACCTATTTAGGCCCCTGGACAAGAAATAAGCTCATGTTTTTCCAAAAATTAAGCTTCTAATCAGGGTACAAGTATGGAAATAAGTTCCACCGTTGTGCATCGAGAAAACAAACACACTTTTTTCACACGCTTGAGCATCTAACAAATAACTGTTTGAATTTTTTGGATTGATTTAAATATAAGAAATCTTGCCGATAATCGAGAATATGCGCTTGTTAGAGTGAGTCTACGACCCTTGTTCTCCTAAAATTTTAGCTAGAAAAATATTGGAGATGACCAAAACATAAAAGCCAAAAATGGCAATAGAGACTCTATTAAGACCTTAATCTGACCAAATGTTCGGCGCCGCAAACGAAACTTTGAAAAAACAGGCCAAAACAGGCGTTTTAGGCACTTTTCAGAAAATTAAGACAAAAAATCACGTTTTTTGACGCGTCTTCCCCCTGGAAAATAGTTTTAGTTTGGCGCCTAAGGCGCCATCAGAAAAAATTAGGGTCCATCAGCCAATAGTGGATATCTTAAATAGTGCAAAGAGGGGTCTTTTTGAGTCGGAAGATTTCGAATCCCTAAGGGGAGTAGCCTCAACCTGGGGAGTAGTCAAACTGCGGTTCAATGCTATAGTTATTTTTGAGACTCTAGTTCGAGAAAATTAACCGGAAACCCCTTGACGATTGGGTGCAAAGGAATTGTGGTACAGATATACGAGTCACTTATGTCAAAATGAGAGAGCAACTGAGGCCGATATGTTCCAGAAAATTTGGTGTTTGGCGGCAATGATTCGGCGACCAATGAGGATTTCTCGTTTTTGGGGAAGATCAGAGCAGAGAAACGCTGTATTCCGAAATTCAACAATATATTCTGTCAAGAATAATTGTTCATTCTGATGAATGGCGTGCATACAGTTGGATCCAGTAGTACCACGAAATTCCAGTTGTATCACGAAATTCCAGTTGTCCAGTTCTTAGACCGCTTAACTGGGGTCCAAACGAATGCAACTGAATGTATATGGAAAAATACTGAAAAAAAAATCAGGCCATGTTGGGAGCTCACTGCTCAATTTTAAAAATTTACCTCTCTGAGTTTCTTTGGAGACAATGATTCGGAAAAACTCATTCAGAAGGATTTGATAGCTCATTAAAGGACATTTCTGAATGATATCTAGCCCCTAATTTAGTTTATGCTGTACAAAACGTTTTTTTATTAGAAACCCACCTACGGGACCCAGCAATCTTACTTGCAGACGAATTACCAGCCATATAAAGAAACCATTTAATGGTTGAGCATATGTGAAGTTTTTTACGTAGTAACGAATGTCCCCATTTCGTAAACAAGCAATCATTTTGTGAAAGTTTGGTGTTAAGTAAACTAAAAAATTCTGGCGAGTTTTGACATTTTTAAGGCGACAATCGATTTTGGTGGGACTTTAAAGCGACTACCGCCTAAACCCAGTGCTTTTTGGTCACGAGATCTCAGTCAAATAAGACGTCTACCGTGTTTTTATCACGACTCTGGCTCTGACTTATGCTATAGTTAATGCCAAAATGTTGGCAAAATCGGTGACCTTGAGCAACTTAAAAAACAGTGGTTTAATTACAATTTTTGAAATCATTCTTACGTGATTTTACGGTTGAAGTGATTTCAGACGTCATGATATAGATTTAGGGGATATGCATATTTAAGGGGGGCGGGGTGGAGGACGCCCCCCCCCCCGCCCCAGGGATTCGACCCCCTGCCGACCGAAAGGGTCCCCTCTTGTACTATTTTAAGATATCCATCTCTGGTGACGGACCCTAAATCTTTTCTAAAGGCGCCTTCGGCATCACTTTAGGGCGCCTTCGGCAACTAATTTAGGGGAGAGCGCGCCAAAAAAACGCAGTTTTGTGGTCAAAAATTAATAAAAAGTGCCTAAAAACGCTTTTTTTGGCCTGTTTTTCACAAAATTGCCTGCCGCGCAGAAAATTGGGTGGTCAAAAATATATTGACATGGGAAGTTGGGAGAGCTCAGAAAACGAGCACCTAAAAAAGGTCGATAAAACTTCTAAAGTTTTTTGAATATCGCCCCCCCTCTCGAGAAAATCCTAGATACGCCGCTGATGGGCATATATAGGTTAATTAATTTTGCTCAGATTCGTTGACCTAAATAGATATTGCCAACAGTTTGTTTGCTTCTATTGATTTGATCAGCCTAAGATAAACATGAGCAGAATGTTTAGAATAATTTAGAATAATTTATCCTCGAAAGAAAAGAGCATAATACGAGCTATTCATTTCTATACCGAGAAAGACTGGATATAAATCAACTGCATTGTGAAGAAAAAAGCGCCCTTTCAAGAAAAAACTAATATGATGTTTTCCTGGTTGAAGTGCTAAAGTTATGTTTCGGCTTTTGCGACCATAAAATGGTAAGTTTTGTCCGACTCAGCCCAATTCAGGCATGTTTCGATTTCTCTACCCAAATGCGATAGATTTAGACTTTCTCAACCGACCCCCTCTGGATTTTGTGTGCTATTTAATTGATTTTTTTGTGATGATGTTTGATCAGAAAAAAAAACTTTAAACGTCTGGGAGGTAAAATATTCCTGCATCGAAAAATATTTTTAACAAAATAATTCTTCCATTTTACTTTTGATTTCTTAACAAAACTGGATCTGGACTGAAATTATTGCTGTGAAAATTTTAGATCTTGAAAAACTAAAATCTTCGTCAGAAACTTTAAGTTTTGCGGTAATCAAGTCTACTCAAATAAATTATAGCTGATTGCAGTTTTTCGACAGAGGTTTTTTCGAGCAGATTTTTTTTTGCTCTGTTTCCAATTTGAAATAAATTAGAATCTTCAAAAAAGTTTTGATTGTGCTTGCCTGATGTGTCGACGGTGCTCGACCTATGTTTCAATTTTTCGGACCAAATTGCGTATGTTTTGACTGTGCTCCACTTATGTTTCGACTCTATCGGCCAAAACCAGGTATGATGCGACTTTGTGCTCGACCTAAAATTGCTTCTGAGGACTGCACACGCTACGCATCTGCAGACGAAAAACTGCATCTGCTCGGTTTTCAAAGTTTAAAGGTAAAACGAGCTCCTCGATCCGGATTGTTGCTTCGATGAAATTATCATCAAGCACTAAAAAATATATTTAAAAAAATTATCTTGCACTACTTTTCATTTTAATCTTATTTTGGGGCTACCTTAGCACAGTGGTGAGGCGTTCACCGTGAGGAAATTAGATCGACTGTTCGATCTTTTGTGTGAGAACGAGCTCATTTTAACTACTAGCTCTCGTCTGCATCAGCCTGAGAAAGTTTGGCCACAATAGTGGTGAAATCTCACCAGATATTTAAGTATTCGAAAAAAAGAGACAGGCAAAAGAAACAGATAATAGCGAAACCTAGAAAAAAGGGTGAACTTTGAGAATGAGAAAGTGCAGATGGATCATAAAGGACTACTGTGTGGTACAATTTAATCTTATTTCGTGCCCTACCTTAGCACAGTGGTAAGGCGTTCACCGTGAGAAACTTAGATTGACTGTTCAATCTTTTATGTGAGGAGGAGCTCATACTTAAGTTCTAGCTCTAGGTCTGCATCAGTCTGAGAAACAATAACCAAAATAGTGATGATATATCACCAGATATTTAAGTACTCGAATAAAGGAGACAGGTAAAAGAGACAGATCATATCGAAATCTAGAAAAAAGGTTGAACTTTGAGAATGAGAAAGTGCAGACGGATTATAAGGAGTACTATGTGGTACAATTCTATGCGATGATACCGACATGAGAGCCAAAAGCTACATAAATCGGTACCTAGAAGTGGAAGCACATAGTCAACTCAGACAACGTCGACCCAATGTTGACATCCAGACACTGTCGACAAAAGACCTCTGGAAAAGACCGAAAATCATTATCGCATTCGAATGTTAAAATGTCATATGCAAATACTGAGGAAAAATTAAATTTTCGAGAGTTCCAGTTGGAATTAGTTGAACTTGCTCAGAAGCGGTTTGGCGGGATC